CCACCCCCACCCCCCCGCTTGGCAGGCAGGGAGGTCCAGCGGCGAGGAAAGCCGCGCGTATTGTAGCCGCGCAACGGGTACAACGGGGACACACGCCGTATCTCTCGTGCTTTCGTTACTCCGGCCCCATATAGTCAGTCATCGCCGGTGCAACCTCTATTCGTCCGCTTCGACCGGCTGCGGATCTACCTGCGGCGCAGCGAGGTGAGTGGGCGACCTATCCGCGCGTCTCTCTCTCTCTCTCTCTCTCGCTCTCTCTCTCTTTCTCTCTCTCTCTCCCTCTCTCTCTTTCTCTGTTAACTACCGTGCGCGTCGGCTTTTTCCGTTACTGCAAAATAACGAAGCTCCGGAAAATTCGCGCAACGATCTGCGCCAATTTCAAAAAGGGATCGCCTCCCGATCAGAGCCACGTATGTCGAGGACGTTACGCGGCGCGTCTCCGACGACAGATTTATGTCACGGAATTTCGCTTCCTTCACGGTTCGGACGGTCTCTCGCGACTCTCGGCGAATGGGAAGAATTTCAGCGCTCGCGAATATCCCGACCGAAATGAGCGCGGAAATGCGTGGTGTCGGGAGAGAACGGCCATTTTAAGCATATATATTTATATATGCGTATGTATATGTACGGATATGCACATATCTTATGAGAATGTGCTTCTGTGTACGCATTTTTGCGAAAGTAATCAGGTCCGCTCACAGGTTTGCGAACACATGCGGACTTGAAATTAGCTCTTTTTCGATTTCCACGGAACACCGCTCTCCCAAGTGTTATATTGCAGTTAAAATCGTGCTATTTCCAACGGTACCGAGGTTTTAACTTAATAATCATGCAAGTTGGCACAAAAGGGGAACGGAATATGTAATTTTAACGGATAAAAAAGGAGTTCACGTGAAATTATTAGGATTATTATTTAAGTCACTAGTCGATGTCTCTCATCGCAAAGCCGCCGTTCGAACCGGACTACTAATTATTTTGAATGATAATGGAATATTTTAGCATCTGCGGCTTGCAAATCGCGGCTGCAAGGAGCGACATGCGAAATACTCGTTCTCGAAATAGAGAATGACGAAGTAACGAGTACCGGAGATTATTTTACGTGGTAATAATTAACGGTAAATTAGGAATTCCAGGTTGTCGCCAGAAGTAGTAATTTCTTCGGAAAATTCGAAATATGTTTCATCGATTGATCTTTCTCCCTTTCTCTCTCTCTCTCTCTCTCTCTCTCTCTTTCGGCCTCTAAAAATATTTATTTCAACTTGATCGGAGAAGGTGCAAACGTTCACTTTACCACAGCTCTTCGCCGCGAACCTCCCAAGTTTCATTCGCTTTTCTCCGTCAGCAATTAAATCGGACATCCGGCATATGTACACCTCACCGGAGTTCTTGTTCTTCGGTTTGCGGTCTCGTAAGGTGCTGTCACCTATTGGCAGGGAGCTCCACCTGAATAATATCCGCTAATATATTTATACGCAAACTCTACGAGCCCCTGCACTGGTATTATAGTACACCTTGTCCACGAAAGCGAGAACAATCGATAAGAGTAAGGAAACAGAGAGAAAGAGACGGAGATAGAAAGAAAGAGAGAGAGAAAGAGAGAGAGAGAGAGAAAAATCCGCGAGAAAATATCCGCGACTGTATCTCGACAGGTTCAACGAAGATGAAACGCGAATGTTTTTTTTCACACCGCTGTCAGGGCTCGCGCACGAGAAAGAGGGAGAAAGAGATCGGAACTTCGGTAACTTGGAAACTTTACGACGTTGCGCCACGTTCGCGGTAATGCAAGTCCCACCGGGGATTACATCCCGGATACGACTGCCCGCGTTACGAAACACGCTTGATCGGAAACACAGTTGGCAAAAGAGAGGCGGCCACGCCGGCGAGCGCATAAACACGGCGGCTTTGTGCGCCGGTAAAATATACGCGCGCCGCGAACTTCCGACGAAAATTCCGCCGCCGCAAGGATCCCTCTCTCGCTCCTCTCGGCATCTCCGTCGCGGCGAAACTTCGTTCTACGGTGCGGATGAAAGTCGATAAACGGCGAAAAATTTCGTGTTTACTCGCCGTTCCAAGAGGGAACGCGTTCTCCCTCTCTCTCTCTCTCTCTCCCTTTCTCTCTCTCTCTTCTCTTTTTTTCAATTTGGTATCCGTTTGCTCTAAATAAAAAAAAAAAGAGAGAAAGGAAGAAAAAAGCAAACGTCGAAACGCCAGATTTATTGAGTGTCAGTTACGAGGCGATTCGAAATGCCGCTCGCAGCGGGGCGAGCCGATAAAAAAGGGGAAAGAGGAAAAGAAGAGGAGGGGGGTAGGGAGGGGAGGAAGTTTAATCGCAGCTGACTGCGCGAAAATCACAGTACTTTACACTTCGCGGCTGGCGGAGCATGAAATGCCGCCGAGAGGGGGAGAGAGAGAGAGATGGATAGATAGATAGAGACCTGTATATACCGCGTTCAGTGCATAAAATATGTATGTAGGTATGCATGCTGATGAGTGCACGCGAAGGCAAGTAAATCTCACAGTCGCGATTCACTCGCAGACTGCTAAATTACCACTCCCGGGTTAATCCGCTATGAACTGATTGTGTGTACGCTCGACGCTCGGGCGGGGCGTCCTGCAAAGATGCGTGTGTCCGTATCCGCTTATTTGTTTTATATCTCTCCGCGAGAGAGATGAAACGCTTTAATCTCGCGGCCGAAGGGCCGCGAGAGGCCGCTGGTAGGGGCGGGTCGCAACGAAAACAACGTCGGAGAGCGCAAAGAGGCCTTTCGTGCGCCCATAAGAATGCTTTTAATTCGTTTCACAACGGCCGCCGCTTAACTTCGCGAAAGAACAGAATTCACGAGGTGAAATCCAGCTCTCGTCGGAGCGTTTACACCCTGAAAGAATGTGTTTCGGATTTTCTAAACCGCGACGTGCCGCGCGGGTCCCTTTTGCGGAAGAGAATCTCGCCATTCTTCGCGGCGGAAGTCGCTTTGCGGGAGTGGGGGAGCAACTTTTTCCGCAAAACCGATTGCATTTGCAGAGAGGCACGTGGTTCGCGCGAATGAGCGACCCTCTCGTTCGCCGATTCCCCGGCTCTCGTTTTCTCAAATTGGAAATTTTTTCGCGTCTCCCGCTCCTCGATCGATCGCGACGAGCCGCGCTATAAATGAGTCGCGCAACGGAACGTTGATACTCAAATATTTCCCGTGCCTTCCGCAATATCCGCGAAACTTTTAATTTCCACGTGATTTATGCGAGAATTTATATTGCGCGTTATATCGCGATATGTATAAGCGCGTATAATTTATCTCCGAACGCGCGCGCGCCGCCCAGATTTTTTTGCGGCCAAGAGAAATGTCTCAGGCGAATCCCTAGAATCGTGCCAGCCCTCCTCAACTGTCATCCTACCGGTCGCTTTCAAGCTATTCCCTCGTTTTTGCACATTAAGAGCTACAACCTGCGAGAAAGAGGGTGTACGAGAGAGTGAGAAGACAGAAAAAGACAGAGAAAGAGAGAGAGTAGGGAGAAAGGGTGGTGAAGGGTGGAACGATAGAGACAGACGATTATGTCCAAATAATTTATTCGGCCGTGTGATTTATTACGACCGCCTGCTCTCCTTTGCATGATTAATTGCAATCAATAAGAGCTTTGGAAAATCACGAGCACGTACCACGAAAAGCTTATGTCGCTTAGATCGTCCATAGATCGATCTTTCGAGAGAGGATGTGCGAGGGAGAAGGGAAGAGAAAGAGAGAGAGAGAGAAAGTACAACAGGAACGAGCGGTAAGCCGCCGTAGCTCCGCGCCATTTTGCAGGATTATATCCTCCGAGGTATTTTACTTCGTTTCTTCATGTACGCACCCCGGTTTACCAGTGAAATTGGACCGAGAATGGCGATCCTACCGCGCCGTCTAAAATTCGCGAAAGACCTCGAAATGTCTCTCGAGAGGGCCGTCTTCTTCTTCGGTATAATAATTCAGCTAATTATCACGTATTGTAGCCTTCCCGTCGGGCGTGGAAAAATGCTTCGGGAGGAGGCGCGGAGGCACTCGTGTTATTAACGACGCTACTTCAACGACGTTAAACGTCGTTGCTGCGACACGCGAATGTTGCTCATAATTAATAACGGCGTCGCGGCACGGTTCATTAATATTTGACGTCTTTATTGCGAAATCATGTTTGGTACAAGGGCGGCGGCGTAATTCGTTCGCTCGCTCGCTCGTTCATCGACGTTACGCAAAGGAACCCGCCGGCGGAAAAAGAACGGCGATATTCGGATAAATCCCACATGTCGCGCTAAATAGCTATTAACGATAAATTGGTATATCCTTTAGACAGCGCGCTATTTTAATGGAATCGCGCCGACGTTAATTAATATTCTACTCCGGCTAAAATCTGCTCTCCTCCGAAGGCGGCTAGGTCGCGCGCAGTTATCAGCAAATGTATTTAGCGTCTATTAGCGACGACCCTGCAACATCGTACAGCCAACGATACTCGCATCTGCATTAATATTTAATGCGATAAAAAGATAGAGAGAAAAGGAGGAAGAGAGGGGAGAGCGGGAACGATAGCAGAAGCAACGGCAGAGAGACGAGTGTACGCGAAAGGTAACAAAGGATCGCGGATGCATAGAAAATGCAGTTATTAACTGCAGGAAGAGCGATAATGCTCCGGGCATATTGCAGCAAATTAAATACAGCGTGTCCGTAAAACTTACGCGCCTTCTCGGCGGGCTAACTCGGTGAACGCCGTAATCCTGTACGACTCTTCGACTTCTGTGCGTCGGGACGTAACGTACGAGGCGTAACAATGGGCGACGCGACGGGGATTCAAAAGAGCGATCTGTGGCAAGCAAGTTCGACGTGGCAGAAATCGTCGAAAATCGCGCGTAGCGAAAACATCGCGAGAGAGCGAAGTATCGGTCCAGTAGTTCGACTGTGTCACTCGTCCGCCCGCGTGTCCGGCCTCTGTCCGACTTGTTCCACTTATTCCGTCGCGCGTGCATATCTCGCATACGCGTTGTCGCGCGGATTCTTCCAACGGGCGGAGAGCGAGACAGCTCGAATAAACGCGTGACGAAGGTGAATCGCGATCGATTCGATTCCGCTCGGGCATAAAACGGTTTCACGTTTTTTCGCACCATTGCCATAAAATACGAAGACGAATTATCGTGGGAGCTGAAATCCGCACGTCGCAACGAAACACCGCCCGTTCGCCGCCCT